CACTAACTGCAAAGACTCCCATTATGTGCTTCAAACATGGGAGTCAAAAATAAATATACATCACAAAATATAAAATCTATCAAAGTATCATATTCAATGTGTCACACAATACTAGGAATAACGTGGCAAGACAACTGTAACACAATTTGTTTTCAGCACAAGATGAACAACAGTTCTCCATCAGAAAGTTTTTGGTGATGATCTTTGAAATACTGTACTTCAATGCTACATGTTTGTATTTATCACATGCTACCAAGAATACTACCGATATATTCATTGCAAATATCACAATGTCTTCAAAGTGTTACATTACCATAAAAATAAATATACATCACAAAATATAAAATCTATCAAAGTATCATATTCAATGTGTCACACAATACTAGGAATAACGTGGCAAGACAACTGTAACACAATTTGTTTTCAGCACAATATGAACAACAGTTCTCCATCAGAAAGTTTTTGGTGATGATCTTTGAAATACTGTACTTCAATGCTACATGTTTGTATATTATTTAAGGAATTTGTCATGCAGAAATAGTCTCAGTTCCTTTGCACAAGAACAATTTTTCAGTAACCCAGGATGCAATGTCCAGGAATGTATTTCAAAATTGTATTGATTCTAGACTACAGTTTATGAGATATTTACCATACAGCCAGCAGAAGCATTTCATAGTACATTTAAAAACACAATACTCACCAGTTTCTTGGGATCCAGCACCTGAGGTCTTATCATGTTGCCTTTATCATCTTTTGGTAATTTATCTGCATGTTTTAATGATATGAATTCTAAGGAATACTGACAGAGAAAAAAATTCAGAATTATTTAATATCTGACAGATTGCGAGTTGAAACGGTATTTGTGAAAAAAAAATACATACGATAATCAGGTACTTTATTGGATGAATGGTGCGATTATATTGGTTGAAAGAGAATTTGTTCACATTTACAAGTCAAAACTAAATATAAAGTGAGTTATTTTTCACCTCAACAGCATTGACAATGTCAGTATCATTTGGCTGTACATTTCTACTGAAATCTTTTAATATTCCTCCATAAACAATGTTTTCAACTTTCTTCTCTTCTGCACTGTGATCAACCAGCGATGCTGGAAAAAAAATGGTTTAATAAACATTCCTTTGTGATATCAAGCAAGGTTTCATGAAGGGATTTTTTTAAAACATAAAATCAATAAATAGACAACACAGATGACCATTGTTCATGGTGTTATAACAGACTGTGACACCATCTACCAATGTCAACAACACCCCAACTTTTACTCCATACCATCTTGACAGGTTTTGGTTGGAAGACTGTCATCCATCAATGATTTTGGATTTCCGGATTCACTTTTATCCATACTAGAATGCTATTGAAATCAAAGAAAACATTTTTTATATTAGCATATTTTATTTCATATTTTTTTTAGTCAAATTCTATTCACTTTTTATTTGCAATTTTTCAGTCTTTCATACATCCTATTTCAGTTATGTTTTTGGTGTAATTGAAATATAGCCTTCAATCTAGCCAAGGTTTCACAAATATAGATGATATATCTATCGGATATCTAGTTCAAAAATCTGCCATAGAATGAAGGTACGTTTATGTAAATACAAAATAGAGCTAATGCATTAGTGCACATCTATTTGTTGCCGCTGAAAAACAACACACAACAGGCAGTTTTTGTTGCTATAATTAAGGAAGAAAGTTATTGAGTCAAAAAAAAAATGTTGGTCTGTCCGAGGGATGACTAGTTTTCTAACTATACACTGGACTTAGATCTAGCTGGTACTTATAAATGGCTATACATGTATATCTAACTGCTGTTAGATCTAGCTGATAGTTATAAATGGCTATACCGTATATCTGGATATATCCTGAAAAAATTATTTTGGTCTGCCCAGGGATGACTCGCTTTCTAACTATACACTAGCCTTAAATCTAGCTCACAACAGGACACTATGGGTATTAGAAACTCACCTCTCACACCAGCTTGTTTCAAGCACTAGCAGTTATCAGGGTCCAGGTAAAAATAAACACAGTTTACAGACTGGGTTCACCCACTTTTTGTAAGGGGTGGACAGCCTATTGGCAATATGTTTAATAGCCACATTTTCAGGGCCGAATATATTAGACAAAAATGTGTAATTTGTTTGATGGTTTTAAGCATTCAACCAAACATAAAACATGATTTACAGAAGTTCATGACAACTAAAAAGACCTTTTCTAGCATTCTTCCCACCATGGTCCCAGGCAGCAGTGAATCAAGATCAAGGTGGCAACCACATGACCTTAGTTTAACCTTTAACCTTATTAGCATTTGTACAACAAAAGAATACAAATAGACTTAAGCAGTATAGCCAGTTTGACACGTACATGTAGCTGTTCATTTACTAATTTACAATATTTAGCTGCAACCACAACCCAGTTATTATTAGCTGTGGAGCTGAAATATGATTATAGATAAGCGTGACAACGTAATGATGATTTTTTATTTTTCTTAAAGTTTTTTTTTCTCTTTTTCAGTTCTTAGTTATTTTTATTAATGTTTGTATTGCATCTTTTTTTTTATTTTCATTTATTGTCATGTATTGATTTTCATCCATTCCAATGGATGTTAAGTGATTAAAGATTATTATTATTATTATTTCAAGAATTTTACATTTTGATTAATATATGTAAATTAATAAATTCTGCATCTACACTATTTGAAGCCACCTTGCTAATATCAGAAAAGCACTGACCAGTTCTGCGACTGTGGATTCAGCATCATAATGTGTCATTGAGTAACCAGATCAAAGATTAACAGCATTTTCTTTGATTAGTCTGTGATGCACAGCAGACTCTCAAGTTGTTTCCTATATAGTCAATAGTCGAAAAAGTAAAAAGTTGATGGAGACGACTGACTTATTAGGATTTATCTCACTCATGGATTTATCTCACTCATTTATTATTTTTACAGAAATGGCATCATTTGAACCAAACAAAACCCCTTGTGGTTGAAAGAGCTCAACGGTCAGTGTTAACTGGGAGTTGGAAACGTAGGGAGAAGTGATGTTGATGAAGTTTGGCACCATAAAAGAAACTGGTCATTGTATTACCAATATTACCAGTTTGAAGAAAAGGAGATTGTGGAGTATGATATGGCCAGTCAGGACAAGATTTTTAAAACTCAAAATATAATAAAGATTGACTTTGACCTCAACTTCAACATAGTTGTCTAACATAAAAGCAGAAAACATATAAACATTGAAGTGACCTTGACCATTGCATGGCCCAGGTAGTTCAGAATCCAACACAATGTGTACTGAAAAATACCATGGAAAACATTTGCCCTGGTAGTTCAGAATCCAACAATACACTTATCTATTACAGTCCACTTATCATATATAGCTCATATATAGCGCAAGGGTTTTCCTAGAAAAAAACTGCAGGAGGGAGCACTGCAATTCAGCGGCGCCACCAAGTGGGGGTGATAGGGTTCTCTTTTGATAATTCCAAGTAAAAATGGAGCATTCAATGGCATCCTTGGGGTCAAAATTACTATCAGACAGGTCACAATTGAAAAGTGTGGCCACATGTCCCTGGTCATTCAGAATTTAGTGGTTGCCAGAGAATCTGCTCCCCATGGTAAGGGGGCGCATGGCCATGGCATGAGGGCACTGTGCCCCTGTTCAAAAAAATCTCTGTATAGCATGTGGGAAAAATCATAACTTTCACAAAAATAGAGATATCTTCACCAAATGAACAAATTTGATTGAAAGAGGGTATTTACATTATGAATCTCAAAGTTTTGGAGAAGTAAATAAATAAGAAGTAAATAAATAAGCAAAAATGAGCAAAAAAGCAAAAAAATATTACTAAAAATAGACACTTGCATATGGTCTCATGAAATTAGAAAATGCTAATTCCAAATATGGGATGATTATGCGCGTAAGCTTCCTCTACTACTAACAAAAACATAGTTGAACTCTGGTGACCTTGCCCTTTGTTATATAATATAATTCCCTTTAACATAGTTTGTTTCAATATAAATATGCATTGTCATAATTAATTTTGAATACAAACAAGTTTTGGGGTTGAACTAACAGTGGGGAATCAGTCTACCGAATGTCCATAAAAGATGTAAATATCTTACAAAAACATTGGTGCCTTATTTGTTTAATTATTTTAAGGGACATAATTTCCAGCTTTCTTCAAAGTAATTCAGATATTTTAGTATAAAAACAAATGTCTCATTGAAAAAAAAAGTGCTGCATTTAGATGTGAATAGATTCATAAAACATGCAAGATAACAGAAAATTTTAGCTGGCTTTAGTCCAAGTATTCACTGAGACAAATATGAACTGCCTCATTGTGTGACTACTGTATTATATGAAAAGTAAAAAAAAAACACCCTTTATGAATAGCTATCATGTTGCAAGCTCTGCTTTGAATGCAAATCAACTTAAATAGTTAGTTGG